GTTATCTAGATTTTATCCATTATTTTAGATTGTATTTAGCATTATAAATATGACTAGCAACTTAGAAGCTATGATATCAGTTTATCAATAAAATAGTCTTTTAAACCCTTTGGAGATTCTCCTGAGAGCGTGGCTATTAAGAGAAATATAGAACGAGACTCTTGTTCTATATCATCCTAATAGAGTTATTCTTATTTTAGTTATTCTGAGCACCTATCAATTTGAGCACCTATCATAGATCCACCACTCACACCCACCCCCTTACCGCTTTCTGCTGATTTTGAGTTACATGTAAAGCCTCACCGAATCTTAGATCACCGATGGACTCGTCATCAGTCGCTTAAACTGTTAGTAGAATGGCATGACCGACCTGTGGAAGAAGCCAGCTGGGAGGACTACGATCTCTTGCACACTCAATTTCCCTCCTTTCCACTTGAGGACAAGTTGAGTTTTCAAGGGGAGGGTAATGATAAGATTTCAGATAATATTCCCATGAAGACTTATCCAAGAAGAAAGCGTCAAAAGATAAATTTAGATTGATTTCATTGTTTATTTTGCTCAGTATTTGATATTTCTTTAGATTTAGTATTTTATTTAGTCAGATTTTATTCTTTAGATTTTATTTAGATCTAGTAGTTTATCTATTTAGATTTTATTCAGTATTTTAGATTATAGGAGATATTATTTAGTTATTTAGTTATTTTAGATTATAGGAGATATTATTTAGTTATCTAGTTATCTAGATTTTATCCATTATTTTAGATTGTATTTAGCATTATAAATATGACTAGCAACTTAGAAGCTATGATATCAGTTTATCAATAAAATAGTCTTTTAAACCCTTTGGAGATTCTCCTGAGCGTGGCTATTAAGAGAAATATAGAACGAGATTCTTGTTCTATATCATCTTAATAGAGTTATTCTTATTTTAGTTATTCTGAGCAGGGCGAAACCAGTAGGATTCGTATGTGGTAAGGCTTGTCTTGGGGATTATGGAGTCCTCGGGACACCGCACGGGCGCTGTGTGCTACACCAGACTCTAAGCTCGTGATATTATGCTCTAGCAATTAGGCTGTTTCTTTCAAGCTTTGGCTTGCCATTTGTACTAATATTAAAAAACAAAACAAAAAGCAAAACTTTCATCATGTCTCACCACTTAAGGCCCTGTATTCAAACTTCAAAGAGCTCTTTCTATTAAGAGTTTGGGACTAGTGCGTAATTTTCTTTTCCCCAAAATAAGAAGGAAAAGTTGTTTATGATATCAAAAGTTACATGATCCAACCAAGTGAATGTGGCAAATATGATAACAGACCTCTTAAGTATTATTTTAAAATTTAATTTTAAAAGGTGTGTATAAAAAAATATTACTTAAAGAAAAATAATTTCTTAAATAGTATTTAAATTTTTTTAAGGGATTAGTTTTATTATTACTGGCGTGGAAATGCCTTGAACATCCAACGAAAAAAAGTTACATGACCCACGTTATTATTTTTTGGCAACTTTTTGGTACCGTGGCAGTGGCACCATGTGAGCTTTTCAGAGTCCACTCTGATTTTGTTGAAATCATCCCGCCACGCACTCACTGGTCTCCAAACCCCAGTTTGCTTAGAATGAAATGAAATAAATAAATAAAAACATAGAAATAAATTAAATTATTTAATCTCTCATAATAAAATTAAAAAAGCTCAATACTACACACTTTAAATGAGAAAATCAGCACACTCACAACAAATCTTAAGAATCATAACTCCTAATCTCTTGAATGAAGTTATCCACCTCTCTTCATAAATAAAGTTGACTTATTTCTTCTTTATATCTTGACCATTATATTTTTATTTTTATTTTTTAATCCATTTCATTTATTTTCTTTCCAGTCCAGTAAGCAACAAACTCTAAGAAAGTGCGTTTTTGTATCCAAAAAGGTAGTAATTAGGATGGTCAGATTTATTCAACCATGATTATTTGGACTAGATTAAAAATATTTGAATATATAAAAATTTATATAACTAAGCTTGCGCTAACACTTAAATTGTTAATTTTTTTAGTCAATTTCAATTTTTACTTCAAAAAAATTAAGATTTTTTAAGCAACTTAACATTATATATATATATATATAGAGATATATATATATATATATCTATATATATATATATATATTTCACCTTACTCATATGAGATCAAGTATTAAAAGAGTATAAATGAAAGTATATGAAGTAACTTCTTGTGTTTAATTTATTCTTAATATTTAAAAAATATGCAAAACAAATAGTTATTAGAACATTAAAATTTTGTTTGAGTACAAAGTGTTTGAATTAGGAGTTGGGAGAGAGTTTTGTGAGTGCTGAGTAAAGGCTAAAGTCAATGTTAATTTCATTTAAATAATAATACTTGAGTATTCAAACTAATTTAATTTAAGTTCACGCTTTGCTTTAACTTTTTTGGCCTTATTCAAGTAGTTTAAATAAGTTTGAAACAAAAAAAAATGCTAAAGCTTTTAAAATCTAATCTAAAATTTTTTAAACTTATTCAGGCTAATTCATTAGGTTTGAAGCCCATGCCATCACATGAAAGCCTAGTTAAAGTCAAAAAATTTTAAGACCTAGGCGATAGAACTACCACCTAGATAATAGAGCAGCTCGATTGGACTCGTAACCCAATTTTTGAAGATTCGCTCATTTTGAATTGTTTTGAACTGAGTAGTTTTGACATAATCAAAATTAACCCAAAAATGTTGAACCATTTTGAATTGCTTTTTCTTTTTATTCTTATTTTAGTAATAAATTTTTTATTCAATCTAAAAATATTAATGTCCTTCTAGGTTGTTATACTAAAATTTTGGGTGAATAATTTGTTTATTGATGCAATGCAAATTGATAAATGAGAAATGAGAGGATAAATAAGATAAATAAATAATATATATATATATATATGAAAAATGAGAAAAATTAAAACTTAATATATTATGCCAAATAACTCTAAATTGAAAATGATATTTTTAGTATTTTAATATTTTTATATACACACACACATATATGCATATAAATATTATTTCTTATTTAATTATTATCTCATTGGTTCTATTACCAATCTAATTGGTTAAATTATGAGAACTGTGACTTACTATTCTTTTTGATTTGTCATCTAATCTAATTTTTAAAACATTAATCAAAGTATAATGCTACCAAGTGCCGAGTAAATGAGCAAGTTTATCCCATATGGCCTCGAGGTTGGAAGCATATTACCTTCAAAATCAATTAATTCTTTAAGCTTAGCCTTTATTGATCTAACTCAAGTTTGGGCTTAAAAGTCTATTTTTTATTTTTATTTTAAATTTAGTTTGCCATTATTATATTATACATGTATGTTCTAAAGTATAAATTAAAATATTCTAAAATGTAAAATAAATAATTCATATCATAATTTTAAAATACAAACACATATTTTTTGTGATTAAAATAAATATGAGTTTAACCATGTAGTCTAAACTTGAGCTCTTCGAAACATTTTTATATAAAAATACCCCAATATTCAATGCTCAAGTTAGGGTTTAAACAGTTAGCCCGTCGACTTGTGTTTTGGGCCTTTTTTTTTTTTTTTTTTACTTGTATCAAAAGTATTAAACAAAATCGTATTCCATGTTGTCATGCTACCTATAATTTATATTAAATGATAAATGATAGATGCATAAGTAAAGTTAAGAAACACATGGTATTTCATCTTTGATGATAGATGTGCATTAATGGCTCCTTGACCTAGCTTGCAATTTGAAAAATAAACAAAAATGTGATTGAGTATAAAAATTATATTTTATTATATATTATAATTATTTTCCTTTTCTCAAATTTATCATGTACGTGTATGTATAAAAATGGTTCAGGCAAAAAAAAAAAGAATATATAAAAATGGTAATTATTTAAATTAAGTATTTTCACACTTTCAAATGAGACTTGGTAAGTAATGATGAGGAATGATTTGCCTTATTTCTCTTTAGTTTTTTTTTTTTTTTTTGTTTACAGGAAAAGCAGTTTTACTCGCTCCATTTTCAACCAATTCTCATTTCTCAGTTCAGTAGTTTGATTTTGTTTCGAAATAATTGTCATTTCAGGTTTTTAAAAAAGTATAATAATAATTATTATTATTTTCGATAATTTAACCCTTCAGTTGCCTCAAAGATTTATTTTTAAAAATTATAATAAATAAGTGTATTTTAAAAAACACCTAAGCCTTTTTATTAAACTTTAGGCTATTTATTAACTTTCTTAATATCAATGCATAACTCCAAAATAACAATTACTCACCCCGCTCAGAAACTAAAGTCATTTTTATGAGATAAGGTATTCAAAAGTATAAAATATTTCGTATCTTCTAAGGTGTGATTAATGAGAGTTTTTCAAAAATATTTATATTTAAAAGTATAATTAATAAAAAATTTTAATTGAGACATCTTATTAAATAAAAATAAACATACAAAGAGTGTGTAATTTTAAAAATAATTAACTTATCCATTAGGGGTATAATTCAATTTAAGTACATTTAAAAGTAATAAGTTAATACATGTAAGAAAATATGCCATGCCAAGAATCTGTCATCTTATTCATTCATTGATATATTTAGAAATTGAAGCTATGTTATACAGGATTAAAATACAAATGTTTATAAATTATGCTAATTGAATTTATTATATAACGTCCATAATAGGCGACTAAATTTAATATTTTAATTATAAAAAAATATATTAATTCATAAATATTGATTCATTTTATAAGGATTTGATTCATGGTTTATAAATATGAGTTTAAATCCCATTACTTTGAAGATATCGTTAACAAACAATATGTAAATTACTCTTTAATTTTGAACACGTATCATAATTATAGGAATGACCCAACTTATTTAAACTTTAAATATTAAAAAATGAAAATGGATATTTAATTTTAAATTTAATATAAAAAATTACAATGTCGACAGACTCTCAGCAAAATAAACATAGACCTCTCAACAACTTCCTCCTCCAATTCACCATTTCCTTCTCTCTCTAGTAATTCGTAAAAGCACAAACACTCCTACTACTAGCAACTGCATATTCAAGCAATTCAATCAAATCAGCTCCACCACTCAATGTGGTGGCCGCGGCTCAAATCGACGACGGTTCAGATTCCGACTACCACTACCTCATCGTCCCCTTCCTCTGCCTCCTATTGCTCCTCTTTCAAAGATATTCAAACTCTCTTCTTAGACGAAACCCCATCCCACTCCATTTTCCACCGCCGCCTCCGCCTCCGCCTCCTCCGTCCCACATTACCCCTTCCCGCTCCTCCCGAAGCGGAGCGGCGCGTGGTCGTCTACTTCACCAGCCTGCGCGTGGTCCGGTCGACATTCGAGAACTGCAAGACCGTCCGATCTATTCTTCGCGGGTTTCGTGTTAAGATGGACGAACGAGATCTGTCCATGGATTCCAGATTCGTGAGGGAGTTGCAGGGGGTTATGTGCAAGACGGAGATGAAGCTCCCCAGTGTTTTCATTGGTGGTACGTATGTTGGCGGGGCGGAGGAGGTGATGCGGCTGCACGAGACTGGCGAGCTCAAGAAACTTATGGAAGGCTTGCCCGCATCTGATTCTGCACTCTGTGACGTGTGCGCCTGTCATAGATTCGTTCTGTGCGACCACTGTGACGGTAGCCACAAGATGTATTCACTGAAGGGTGGCTTCAAGACCTGTACGGCCTGCAACGAAAGCGGTCTCACCAGGTGCCCCTCTTGTTGAGCTGTTCTTCTGACCACTCACACTAAGCCCCATACAAAAAAAAAAAAAAAAAAAAAACCTTTGAAGGTTTTTTTTTTTATATGATGATTATGTTAGATTTGAGTATTGTCATATTTAATATGAGGTAGTTCACTAACATTATACATATTCGAATTTTAGACCTTGTGTCGGTTCTACTAAGACCAACGCGTATTGGTACTTAAAGCAATTTAACAATATGTTTTGGTCTTTTGGGAATGTTTTGTTGGGCAATTGAGCTTATGTATAGGCCCAAGATTTGACGTCTGGATTAGTGTCATTGTTTATTCGTTTTTTTTTTTTTGACCTGAAGTGTGATTGTTTATTCGAATATTAAGCTAATATGCTTTTTTATGTTTTTTTTTTTGGCGTTGCATTTTTATCTCTTGACACCCTGCCAACACTTTATTCAACTTTAACCAGAATCAGAGGTCATGCTTGATGGAGTATATAAACTATAAAGTCAGTCAATTTAATAGCACATAAATATAATTGTTAAACTCTTGAGTTAATTTTTTAATTTTAACATTTTAATATTTTTAATTTATAAAATCGTGTTAACTCACTTATAAATTTATGCTAATTAAACTAACGAGCTTATTTTTAAATTTATCATTTTTATATTTCTAACTTATAAAATTATGTTAATTAATTTATAAACTCGGATTATATATAAGTTTAGTTAAATTTGTTAAGCTTGTTATTATTATTATTTTTTAGTTGAGTGAGTTAAGTATATACTATAAAAATTTTAATTCATAAAAGTTATAAAACATGGTTCAAAGAAAAAAAAAACTTAAAATGCAAAAATTAATATTAATAAAAATGAAAACAAAAAATATCAAAAATAATTGTTTCCCTATTTTAAAATTTCTATGTTTTATATATGATAATTTATTAACATAGATGGATTTAATTTTAATAATTTATATTTTAAATATATTTAAATTAAATTATAGTCATATTTTAATAACTATTTATTAATAAAGATAAACTCTTATTAATTTACAATTTAAGTTTACATTTCTATCACGAGTTTAATAACTTTGCATATAAATGTAGATGGATAATTTAATTTTTAATATTTTGTTTAAAATGCTCTTTCTCGTTCTAAGTTCTAGCTTCATTTAAAAATTAACCTAATATCTAAATTTTGTTAGATTTCATTATAAACCCTTAATTTTGTCTTTTAATTTTTTTTTTGGTACGTTAGGTTGCACAAATATGAGTAGATTTCAGCTAATTTGAAGATAAATTTCATATTAGATAAATTTAGGCTTCATAAATATTTAATAAATTACAGAAGAAAGGCTTATACAAATTTAAATTTTAAGTTAAAATGTCCTGTTCTTATGCTATTATTAGCCATTTATTTCCTTTCCTATCTCAAGCAATCACTTCACATTCCTAACATAGTCTGCATATGTGGGCTTAATGCTGTCTCTTCATATTATCCTTGCTGTAATCATGATATTTTCTCCAAAATTAAAAGTCACATATCTCTCCTTTTTTTTTAAATCTTTTTAATTATCAGAGGGGGAACAGGATTTAATAGTCTTGAAATTTAATAGTCTAAAAGGTTAAATTAAGTACAGAATAAAATGAAAGGATAAAAGCAAAGTACAAAACAAAATTAAAATAAGTAAAATCATCAATGTGTCGTAAGAACTATTTAAAAATCTTTACTTCCAAGAAAAACATATTAAAAAATCTTTATCACTATTGAATTCGTCCATATTTTCTGTCCACCTGCTTGTATTTAAATTCAAATAACAAAACCAAAATAATATGAAGAGATCTACTGAAATTAAGTGCAAAAAATGATAAAGATTTATGAAAGAACAAAAATAAAATTATTTGTACTTTTATAGATATATATATATATATATATATATTGACGAATTGATATGGCCAATGGCAATTATTGAGTAAGCATGACGTGCAATGAATTGGATTTATGTTTATGCATATAATTGAACTAATAACATATATATACCATTGCGTGGCTGAGAACTTATTATGACAAGAAAATTATTTTTTTATTGATTTCAAATAATGACTTGAAGACAAATATATAGTTTTTTTTTTTTTTTCTGTTTGTGATACACTTTATAATGAAGCAATGAAGGAGATGACACAGTAATGAAAGAACTGTGTTCCCTCCTTTCTCTTTCAAATTCGGATTATTTGTCCTTCTCCGTTATTTGGATGGGCAAACAAATGCAACCTTCCTTCCATAACATATTAATATATTGCTTCGTCTTTTAGAGGGGTTAGGTGCTGTGCTTTTTGAGGGGTTAGCTTGTATGCAATGGTGGAGCCATGATTTAGGTAAGGTGTGCAAAATAATTTAATTTAAAAATTAATAATTTTTAAAAAATAATAATTATATTAGGATTAAAATTATAATAATATGAGCACATTGATCATCATTTTACATAGTCTTTTATGTAAATATACTCTTTATTTATTATTTTGATCATTAAAATATTATGTTTAATCGAATCTCACTTCCTAATAAAGTAACTATTTCAAACTAATTCTATCTTTTTAAATTTACCTCTATTTAACAGAATGTTTTATCCTAAGATAAATATAAAATTATTTATTTAATATGAGCACTTTTGAAAAAAAAAGTAATGATTATACCTTAAAAGATTAAAAATAATTTATCTTTTTTTAACATCTAACTCTTAAAAAATATTTTTATATTTTTTAACACAGGAAGGATCTAATAAGATTTTGTTGTCAAATATTTTTTAATTAGCTTAGAGGGTGTAAAATATTAAGAATAGGGGATATAATGTTGTAAAATTTACATATCTTACTTGTCATTTTTTTTCCAAAATGAGAGGGTATATTTGCACATTCTCGTCATAGAGTCACTCTGTCACTGACTGTATGTATGTATTGTCTCCCATTCTAGCTATAAGGTAAAGTTAAGTAATTTCACAATTCTTAAGAAACAGTGTTAATATCCTTAAATTTATAAAAATATTTGACTTTTCAATCTTTCCCCTCACTAACAATTCTAATAAAATGTGTATAAAAATTAAAAGTTTACCAACAACTTGATGGAATTAAGGAGGGAAAATATTGGAAACAATTAACTACTACATTTTTCCATTATACTCCCTCCATTCACTATTATAAATCACTTTTAACAATTTCATCAAATGATAGTTGATTAATTAAATTTGTCTTAAAATTAAAAAATATTTCAATTTTGCTTTTATTAAATAAAGAAACACAACATTCAATGAGCTATTTAGAAACACTAGATTATAATTAAATTCTCCTCTAGTATTTTGTGATAGGAGTCAAATTAAAAAATATTAATTAATAACTCTCTATGAAACTTATTTTAAGAATTAAAGTTTTTTTTTTTGAAGCAACCCTATGGTGGACATCAAAGAGAATATTTTAGACCAAATATAACTCTAAAACTTCGCGTTATAATTAGAATTGGAGGGGCCCTTTGGACGCGTGAGTGCGCGGCGCACACACATATCAAAGATTATGACATAAATCAAGCAAAAATTTATCGCAAATTAATTTTATTATCATGGATTATTGTAATGCAAAACTATATCAATGCCATGTGGTTTAGATGGTAAGGACTTGTTTGATTTTTATGCTCAAAAATTATTTTTTTAAAATAAAAAATAAAAAATTATTTTAATAAGTATTTTGGATTTAAATGTTTTTAAAAATTTTCTATTTTATTTTCAAAAATAAAAAATGAAAACATCTAAGAAATATTTTTTTATTTTTTATTTTTGAAGCACATTATATTTGACTAATATAATTAAATTACTTTTATTTATGACCAACCCTTATAATATAGGCCATCACCATCAACCACAAGCAATTAATGAACATGATTGGCCATTTTTAAATTTTTAAATTCTTTTTAAATTAAAATAAAAAAATATATTTTTATTCTGTTTCGTTTTGAAAAATAATTTTTAAAATTTGGTTTATAAAATAATTTTTAAAAACAGAAAGCAAAAGCAAAACCAAAGAAGCCCTTAAAAATGTGTTTTCTTTAAAGTAAGATTTTGGATTCATGCTTTTCATAAAAGAAAAAGATAATAATTTACTATGAGAAGGATTTAATTTTTAAAAGAATAAATTAATGATAACTAGGTTCCCGATAAATTAAAAAAATAAATTACAAATATTAATTTAAATAATTACAAATTTAAGAGTTTTAGATATAACTTTTAAGTTCTAAATATGACGATCACGGTTTAAAAATAAGATTTCTATTTGCAACTATTTTAATTGATATTTGTAATTTATTTTTTTAAATTTTTTTGGAGACCTAGTTGTCATTGATCTGATCTTTCAAAATGTACTATCATTTTTCCTTATTTATTGGAGCACTTTACGCTCTTGTGGTAGAAGTTCATAATGTCCAAATTAGGCTTGTTTGGTATAATATTATAGAATAGAATGAAAAATATTTTCATGTCCCTAACCAAAAACTAACTAAAGGTAATTAGTGGTGAATAATGATAATGATAGTATATAATTATAGATTATAAATACACATACATATGTATGTATGCATTTCTTTTAGCTATGCCAAACAAAGCCTTTTTTTTTTTTTAGTAAAAAGGAAACTTCATTCACAAAGAAGTAAAATGTTATAGATTAAGGGAAAAAAACCCAAGAAAGGAAAGACAAAAGACTCCTTTAAGGAACCGAAAAAAGTCTAATGAGGGGGCAAATGATATAAGTTAAAATCACAAGGGACACTATGTGCTAACTTAGCAAGATAGTCAGCATCCTTATTGTCATCTCTATACAAAAAATGAATATTAACATTCCAAGTCCTAATTAAAAGCCTTCTGGTAACTTGTATTATATTATAGAAGGGATGGTAACTATGACTGTTCCTTGTGATAGTTGAGATAGTGTATGTACTATTACCAAAAACCTCCACGACTATATATCCCTTCTTCCAACATAAATCCAACCCATAAAAAATCCCATAAATTTCCACAATGCCAGCCGGAACATGGTCTAGCTTTTGATTAAAACAAAAAATCCAAATTCCCAATATTATCTTCTAGGAAACCACCACATGCACTATGCCTATCACTAAGAACAGACCTATTCGTCTCTAGCCTAATTGCATCTATTCTTGATTGACAAGGATGGTTAGCAAAATGAAGACCTTCATGATTTTTAGCTTGAGTAAGTATCTTCATATCAACAACCACTTTGAAGAGGAAAGAAAAAGGTCTTCTATAAAGTCTTCTTCCTTAACTTGAAAGAGAGTCTTGTATCTAACTTTCCAAATATTCCAACAGTATAAGCAAAAAGGACATTCCAGAGATAGATTGTATGAAAC